ATCTCCTGAAAATTTCTCAATTTAATCCACATTATATTGTCCCATGCCATCTCATCAATTCTTTTTCCTGATGCCAATTTAAGACAGAAATATCCAAGCTTGTCTGGCACAGAAGCCCCTGGCTCAAAATCTTGGACCATATTATAGGCTTCTCACTTTCACGTGATCCTGGAGCCTCACTCGAGTTTGTTCTGAGTTGATGTGAAATGATATTAAAGGTGAAACCATGTGCCAGTGAGGAATTCACTTAACTTTTTGTGGCAGGTTCCACAGTAGGCAGATGGTAGGAGTTTGCCCAAACTAGAAGCTTCACTCCCTTAAGGGTGAAAAGAGAGTGGAGCTTTACTTTACCATCTTATCTACTGGTTATTCTGCAGGGATACTGGTATGGTAGATCAGTAGCGGTATTTTAACATGGATTTGAGATGGCTTGGGCATTATGGCCCTCGTTCTTTCTTAGTACAAAAGGCTGTTACAAAGAATGGAGCAGGATGTTATAAGACCTAATAGTATTATGGTTAAGAATATGAACCTCAGTACAGACAGATCTGAGGTTAAACTCCAGCTCCAACATGCACTACCTTGGCGACTTCATAGAATTCACTTAACCTCCTGGTCTTCACTTTCCTTATTTATAAAATGGAAATAAAAATACTTCCCTTGACTCATAAACTTGTAAAAATGACATGCTGTGTATAAACCACCAAGACCACTTAGGACACAAACCAAACATTCAATAAGGTATCAGTGTTTTCCCTTATGAAGAGATAGAATCAGGAAATTAAGCTTAAATAAAAATAGAGAAGATCCTGACATGGATATCTTAGGAGATTTTAGAATAAATTAGAAAAATTAGTCTATGGAATAACTTTTCTCAGAAATCTCTAAAAATAATGTTGGTCCTCATTTTCCCTGTTGGCTTATGCTGCCCTTCCACTGAGATTGGAACTAAATGATTAACAGCAACATCGTCCAAACCTGGAAGATGTACTCCAAATGTACCCAAAGAAACACTATCTTTCGTTAAGAAGCAGGAAAGTTTTTCTTTGCTCCATATTTAAGTGTGGAACATTGAAGTACGTATACTTCAATGAACCGTCTGTTTCGAGGTGTGGTATTAATGGAATTTGATGGGAAGGATGGGCTGCAAGGGAATCAAATCTGCTTCATTCTTTTCTCACCATTTGCCATCGACCACATTTGCCTGCTTCTACTTTACCTATGCTTTTTGCTGTGGCCAAACTAAAAGAACTGGGGACATGTGGGAATTGTTACATTCTTGGAACCAGCCAGATGGAAAAGTGAGATCATGACAGCCTACCCAAGAAGCAGGGAAATATTACCTGCAACCACTTGAGCTGCTTCAATTGTAACAAAAACATTTCTTGAAGTCCAGAGTAGTCCTTGCTTAAGGATCTTGAGTGCCTGTCTCATTTTAATCAAGAGATTGGTTTCAATGATACGTTACGTATTTAACTTAAAAATTCAGCCTGGCCACATTGTATTAACTTACACAATATGTATGTCTCTATGGGTGAAAAAAATGGCCCCCAAATTATTGAGGTCAAAAACACTTTACAAAAATCTGGAGAATGTAGAGAATGCCTTTAAAATAAAAGCATGCCACAGGGGTTTGAAAAGTGCTGATAACTTTGTTATTTACAGAATAAATGTTCAAACTTGTCAACAGACTAATCAATGATGTGTATACTATCTACATAGAAGTGGACAAGGGTGGGGTAAGGGAACATGAATAGTACAGAAGGAATATAAAACATGACCTTTGTGCTTAATCAGCGCTATAATAATCTAAAGATTCTAACGACGGGCACAATTGCAGAGTTCATATTCTACAGGCGTAGGGATTTCAGATTTTGGTTTCATTTCTACACAGCTTTTGAAAATGTGTATGCATTTCATTTCTTCTGTAGTATTCTAAGCTGACTGCTGCTTTTTTCACACCAGCTTTATCTGAGCCTGTTTGGAATTCCATACCAGGCGACTCTCTGTGTTTCTGCTTGTCTGGATTACCTTGTCAAGATAATCATGTTTATCAGAAGTTCTAAACATTTCTGTGCTCAGGACTACTTGGGCGTCTTAATAATACTTGAAAGGTGCCCTTCTGATTCTCATAACTGTTTCTGACCACTTCTTTCTGTCAATCAGTGTTTCTACATCTTCAGATTATCTCCAAGAACCGACCTAGTGTTTCTTGCATGTCACAGGATTGCGGATTCCTACTCACATTATTCAGCCACTGCTATTTATTTTGCATTTTCTCTCAACTCTTGTTTCCCTGTCCACCAATAGCATGTTCCAGCACTAAAATTTTCCATATTGGCCAGAGTTGGAAAGAGGGGTGACCCAAGTATAACAGAGGAAAGCAAAATGAAATAGAAGGCCAAAAAATGTATAAATAAAATTTTCCCTCAAATTGCATCCACCAGAAACTCTCAACCTTTAGCATGCTTCAGAATCATAGGGACACTCTCTGAGAACCACTGCCACACGTGAATTGAAATCACTTCCAAATAACATGTACTCAAAATGAAAGGCCATCTCACTTTGCTCTGTGCCAGGGAGTTCTTGACCTGGAAGTCCTTGGAGACCCTTTGATAGCATTCTATGTACCTTTGGTACTCCATCAACTATCTTTTATATTGCATTAGTATGTGTGAGATTACATTGGGATGCTTGAGAGGGCCCCTTGCTCTCAGAAGATTCTCAAAGGATTCATTTTCCCAAACATAGCTTGAACAACTCCCACTGAACCATGCAGAGGTAGTCAAGCCAACACATTTGAGGAAACACTGAAATTAGTCTGTATCGGAATAAGGGCTTTATAGTTATAGAGGCAATGTATAATTCTCCGGTTCTTTTTACGGTTAGTAGAATAATTACCACATTGACCTTTCTAATCAATTACTCTATTCTTTTATGATTATCCACAGCCTCCTACCTGGGTGTAGACCGACCAACCAATCAGCCAAAAAGTTTAGATGGAGCACCTGGTATAGGCCTAGCATGGCGTTGGCTCAGTGGTGGACTGGAAGACTGCAGAGTCCCTGCCTGCAGGTTACTCTGGGTGAGGACACTGACATCACTACTTTTAAGCCCCGTAAGAGTAAGAACTTTGCTTTTCTTGTCCCAAACTCTGTCTCCTGTGCCCAGAAAAGCACCTGATAAATTATAGGAGCATGCCCAATGATTCTCAAACAAATGAATTAAAGACCTCAGGGGTTTGTACCATAAATGTCATAATGATATTGCCAGATAAACAATATATCCACAATGGCTGATTGGACAAAGTTCTCACACCTGGAGAGTATCGCTGAATAAAGGATCCAACTAATAATGCATATTAATAAACCGCAAACTTGCCTCAATAGGGAAAACAAATTGAAGTTTAAATATGACACAGTTTCAAATCTTTCTTTACACCAGATGTTTGGCACAGGAAAGAACTCAGTTGAAAGACCATACACTAGGAGAATCACCTTCCCACCACATCCTTTTCTTAGCAAGCAATAATCTTGATGACAAAGGATTCAAGAAACAAAAAGCACGCTGCCCAACCACATATATTTATCATGCTCCCTTCAATAAGTGTGAAGCAGGCAAGCCCTTACCTAGATTTCAAGCTAGTGAATCATCTGTCTAGTGTCACTAAACCTCAAAGGGCTGCTCAGCTTTGTAAAGCTGAAATCCTGTCAGCCCCTGGATGCACTGAAACAAGGACAATATGTTAAAAGGAGGCAGGTCATGAGGTTTCCGGAGGAATCAGTTTCTAAGTTCATTAAATCCTCCTTCAGTTCAGGAAAAAGAGCCTCTTTATCTCAAGAATCTTGAGAAGGTTATTTTTTAATTGTGTATAGATGCTGATTGTATCAAATAAATGGAAATGTTAGTGATTTCCTATATTAACTCATCCATTTATTGAAACTGGGGTCCCTTCTATTCCATTACCTCCACAGAAGCACACACACATCCTCAGACACCTTAGAAGAAAGAAAATTCCTTCTTCTTGGGAAACACCTGTCTTGGGAGTTCTTGGTCGTGCAGCTACTGAGCATGCACAGGGTCGAGCATACAAATGGTGCAATGACTCTTTTGGAAGTCACATTTGTCCCTGAAACTTCAGTCACCTGCAGACTGCATGCCTCCTTGCCTGCAGCAGCTCAGTCCCGACAGTGTAGAATGAGTTTAGAAATCTCATTTCAGCAACAAAATTTGAATTGAAAGTTTAAAGAGCACAATATGTCTAATGCCGAAATAATCATTCTTTGCAATTTTTGCTGAATGTCAATTTTTTTCTTTTCTTTTGCTATTGGGCTGTTCCAATAATCTTGCTTTGGTTTGGATTTTTTATCGGAAAGAAGATAGCAAGACTCAGTAAACTAGTACATCAGGTAGATGCACATCCCCGTTTTTACACACAGAAAATTTCTGCTTCATTTGCTATGCAAACACACATGCACATAATTCCTGGAGTCTCTACTACATTCATACCCACTGCTTTCAGACACACACTCACAGGGCACCAAAACACAAACTCCCTTCGTGTCAAAATCAAGCCAGGCTGAAGATGTAAATAGGTGGATATGGTACCAGGTGGATGTGTAATCAGTAATAAGAAATACATTGAGCCCCATAATGAAAAGAAATCCCCCAAATTGTTCAGGATTCCCCCTCCCCCTTCCATTCACTGATTTATTAACCCTGAACAAAGATGTAATTGCAGGGTCTCAGAAAAAACTTTTTTTTCCTTTTTTTTTTTCATTTTTGGCATTTGTTTTGTTTGGCTTTGAATTTCTTAATATCTAGTCGTACCATTCATTGCCTGTTTTCTTCACTCAGTTGCCCATCTTTTCCCCCCAAAAATGAAAGAAGCATCAGCTTCTGAGTCTTAAGGATGAGACCTCTGCATTTTCTTTGCTTGTTTAGGGCAAGAAATGAAGTGCTGCCTCTTTAATTGGCAGAAGCATGCAGGAGGAGCATACCTTCAATTTAGTGTTGGGATACCTCACTTGCACCCTGGCTGTTGTCTTATTGGAGACGGCAGCCTGCCTGAGATCCTCTAGCACTGAAATAATATCATCCAGCACGCATTTCTTATCCTGATTTCTCAACACACACAGATGGGAAAAAGTATAATTATAGCCCTTGTGGTTCACCTTCATTTCCAGCACGGCTCGGTGGGTCTGCAGGATCCCCTCAGCTTGGAGCAAAATATTGTCCCCGGGTGGGGAGAGGAGGATCACCCTGCCATACCTCCCAGGGGTGTGTAAGTCCGAATAAAGCTGGCTTTTGGACTGGTCCAGGGGGAAAAGGCTGCTGGCCAGGCTGCGCTCGATCTTGGCCAGGCTGTGGCTGGGAGCGACGAGGCGCTCCAGGTCGCCCTCGGGCTGGAAGCGGTTGAGCGCGCTGAGGCCGAAGGTGATGGTCAGGACTGCGGGCACGGTGAGGAAAAAGACCGGGTGCCGGCTCACGCACAAGCCCAGCCTGTGGCAGAACGACTGGAGCCCTCTGCGAAGCACCTGCCGCAGCATCCTCCACCAGATCCAGCTCGCAGGCGCTCCCGGCCGTCTTAAAAAGCACATGTGACATGTGTAAGCGCCGGGCTACCCCCCGCTCCCCCATCCCACCCGCGCCGGGCCAGCCCCCCTCCCCACCGCCGCCTGCCGCCGCCGCCGCCTCCCCACCCCCTCCGCGCTCACCCCCGACCACTCCGCCTGGTCTTTCCCCGGCCCCACCTCCATGCGCTCCTACTACTCTTTCAAACACTGCAGCAAGTTGCAGCAAGGCGGGCAAATATCGACAGCGCGCGTGGGGGCGGGCGCTGCGGGGGCACGGCGGGCCCCCCCTCCCCAGCCTCCCCGCGCCGGGGTCGCCGCCCGCGCCCCCTCTCACCGCATGAGCAGCGTCCCCTCGGTCTAGCCCTTCATCTCGGTGCTGCAGTCCCCCGGCCTCCCTCGCTGGAGGTGGTTCCGTGCGGAGCGTCCCACAGATGTGGATTTCCTCTCCGTCCTGGTGGGGTTCGGCGCCTAACTGGAACCATGTGCCTCGGTGTTGTAAGAAGCAGACATGTGCCCCATAAGGAGGGGGGTGGCGGGAGGAGGGAGAAGAGAGGGGCTGGAGCGGGGCGGGGGTAGGGGGGGAGCAGCTAAGCTTTTCTCTTTTTGAGAGACTCACAGTTATTTTTAGAGTTTTGTTTTCCCTCTTCCCTCCCCGCCGGAGTGAATAGAAGAGGAAATGGGTGAAGGTGCTGCTGGCCCATTGGAGCTGTGGCAGTTAGAGCCCAACGGGGGAGGGGGGGCGTGGAGGGAGGGAGCTCGAGGGCTCCTGGAGGAAAGCAGCCTTTTTGCCTCTCCAGTTTCCCTGTGCCCTCGAATTCTGCTTTTTCGGCCGAAGGAAAGGAGCGGAGAGGATGATGCTGCATTTTTAATATACCACAAAGCGTGCAAGGGATTTCCCTGCAAAGCCTTCCACGCTGCCCTTCCCCAGACTGGTGGGCTGCAGCCGAGGGCTTCCAGAGACGACGCACTGGTGGTACGTTTGGGGCTCCAGCGACGGCTTCCTTGCTCTGGTGGTTGGAGAGGAGGCATTTGCCAATAGCCGGCGCCTGTGGCTTGGTGTTTGAGTGTGTGTGTGTGTGTGTGTTGGAAGTGAAGATCCACAGGCAATATGTGTTTTCTCATAAAATTACATTCACTTTCTGTACTTTTGAAGCTCAGGACAAAAAGTTCTTAAAGCTGGTTTCGGTCCCCTTCCCCCATTTTCCCTTCCACCCCTCACCCCTGAGGAATGTTTCGAGCCATCTGATTTCTTCTGAGGTGAAGCCGACTGAGAGGCTATCTAATTTTCTCCTATGAATGGAATTACAGAAACAGACATTTTGGAACAGCCGTCACATAGTTTTTGCCTGAATAGAGAGGGCCAGATGCGTAGAGGAAACACGCTGGAGTCACTGGATGTGTAAGACAGTCAGTCACCTATAAGAAAGAAAACTCCCGCCAAGTGTGATTTCTCCCTCAGTCTGAAGGTGAGGAGCTGTCACCTGCAGATCAGATCAACTTCAAAAACTTTAATATTGATAAGTGTGTGTATTTTATTTTTTACCTATTGGGGCTTTTACAAGTTCATGTTCTAGACAGAATGTCAGTAAATCTTGAGGACAACTTCACAAGTTTGGTTGTGAACTGGAGACCTGCTTTCCGAAGTTCTCTTCTTTTTGCATTGACTTCGAAGAGAAGATTGAGTTTCAAGAGATGATTTGTTCACACTTTCTTAGTCACAGTGAAAGGACCTGTTTTTCATTAGGTCGTTAGAGATGTACCCATCTATGCATACAAACAAGCCAAAAGACTCAGCTTCTTTTATTTTTGCTAGTAGAATCGATTCTTCAGTAAAGAAACCAATGAGACAGCAGGGAGCTCAGAAACCGGGGCAATGCTTAAGGGCAATAGTCTAAAGGTGGTGTTGTATATAATTAAAGAAAAATTCCAGCCTTTTAAAATTGAAAGTGACCTTGGTGACCATTCAGTTTGAATTTCTACCTACCCGGAGCAGGAATCGCTTCTATAGGATGCCTGATGGTTCTCCATCCAACCCATGCTGCAGAATTCTCCACATCTAAGAACTACTCATTTTTCTGGGAAGCCCATTCTATTGTTAGACAGCCTTTCCTTTTTCAGCTGGATTCAGTCTCCTTGCAACATTCATGGACTTGTCCTCCGTCTTCTTTAGCAGAAAGCACTCCCTTTACAATTAACTGTCAGATCTCCATGTCATTTCATGTAAGGTATTCCATTAGTGCCATTGTCTATACGGCAAAGAGGAAATGTATCCATCATCCATTTTCTATACTCTCTTTATTATATTAAGTCTACTTGGTCATATCCTCTGCATGAAATTTTCTAAAAGATAGTCTATCTGCAAAATATAGAATAATAGACTTTAGGAATGGACATTTAAGTAAATTATCTACTTCGTTTTATAGATAAGGACACGGAACTGTAGAGATTAAGGCCATGCTCAGAGTTATTTGTGAAGTTGAGACTAGTATGGGGATCTATTGTTTCTCAGCCCATTGCGTTTTCCCTAGCAGCATCGGACCAGACCCATCCCTCTCTTCTCACAATAAACAAATATGTCAGAATTGCTTCCTCTCTTCTTACTCTCTCCATTTCCCACAGATCCTTCCTCAATAAATTCAATGGAATTAGAGAAGAATAAAGATACCAATAGATAATTGACTAAATAATCTATGAAACATCCCTAAGATGAACTACTTGACATAAATACAAATCATCTCATAGATTTATAAGGACATGGAAATACATTCACTAAATGGTAAGTGAAAAAGTCTGTACAGTATGAAAACACTTTGAAAAATAAAAAATAATTTTGATAGAAAAAACCATAAGATTTGCATTAAAATCTTTCTGTGTCTTGCTAGATGATGAGATTATTGGAGATCAAAAAATAACTTCTTAATTTTAGAGCAGTTTAAAGTTATAGAAAAGTTTTAAAGATAGTACACAGAGTGCCCTTATGTTCCCCGTCCAGTCCCCTATTATAATCTTACATTAGTATGGTACATTTGTTACAATTTATGAGCCAATGTTGATACATTATTATTAACTAAAGTCCATATTTTATTCACATTTCCTTAGTTTTTACCTAATGTCCTTTTTTGTTCCAGAATCCCATTCAGGACATCACATTGCATTTAGTTGTCGTGTCTCCTTAGGCTCCTCTCAGCTTTGACACTTTCTCAGATTTTTCTTGTTTTTGATGACCTTGACAGTTTTGATGAGTACTCGTCAAGTATTTTGTGGAATATCCCTCAGTTGGGAATTGTCTGATTTTTTCTTATGATTAGACTGGGGTTAGGAGTTTTGGGGAGTAAAAACACCATTTTCTTGGTAAAGAGCTGTTTTCATTACATCATATCAAAGGTACATCCTATCAGTGTGTCTTATCACTGTTGATGTTGACCTTGATCACCTGCCCTAAGTAGTGTTTGTCAGGTTTCTCCAATGTAAAGTTCCTCTTCTCCGACCACCTTACCAGACTGTCTTCTTTGGGGGGAAGTCGCTAGGTGCAGCCTGCACTTAAGGAGTGGGAGTCATGCAACTTGAGGTGGGGTTCTACATAAGTTATTTGGAATTCTTGTACATGGGATAGAGGTCTATTCCATTCTATTCTACTTATTCAATCTTTTATTTATGTCACTACAGTATGGACTCAAAGATATTTCTAAGTATTTATTTTATAATTGGAGTTACAATTTGATACTACTTTGTTTACTTTCTTGCCCAAATTGTTCCAACTTTGGCCATTGGGAGCTCTTTTCGTTGACTTCTTATCCATTTGACACATCCCATTATTGGGGGATGCTTTTTAAAAAAGTATTCCTTACTTTCTTTCACTATAAGATATTCTAGTCTTATCTTGTATCTTTCCTGCCCCAGTCCTAGAATCAGCCATTTCTCCAAGGGGCCCTTTGTTTTATTGGAGAATGGTATCAGAAACAGACACATGGGTTCTGTTTGTGCTGATTGCTGTTGTGGTGGTATTCTAAGCCCTCTCAGCTGACAGTAAGGAAATAGATGGGTGTATGCTAATATGTGTGTATGTGTATCTATAAATTATTCTCCATATAACAGTGTAACTACACTAAGATAAATATGAGTTTATACTTATGTTTCCAACTCTAATCTGTTGCCACATGGATCACTGTAGCCTCTTCCCCTTGAAGACCTGTAACCTCCAGCTCCAACAGTGAGAAACTGGTTCAGTGGGTAATTTCTCAATTGTTTTTCTATAATGAAAGCATATTCATTTTTTATTAGAAAAAATTATTTATGGGGAAAGAAGAAAAGCATGCTTCCTTAATTTTGATACTGTAAAAAGATAATGCCAAATACTATTATGGATTCATTAGAAAGATAAATTATATGCTAAAAAGAAGGGAGATATTAGCAATGTTCCAGATCAACCTATAGGAAGTTAATTTCCACTAAAATATCAGTGGTATCAATCACACAATAATTCTAGTAAATCTGACTTAAAGCTTAAAATAAAGCTGAAAGCAGTGCATTTAGAGGCCATTCAGTAATAATACACAAAATCTGTACTGTTTAGTTAATACAGGACTTGTCTTCTCTGATATATCTTGGTCAATATCGGTTTTTCAAGACCTGGAATCAAGTTGGAGTTTGTCCGCTTGTCCTTTTGCAAGATAGGACGCCAGAAGAACATGAAATTGGACACAGAACAGCTGAGTTCTAGGCCAGCTCCACAAGTTACTTCAGTTTCCTTATTTGTAAACTTGGGTTATATTATTGACTCACTTGGGTTATATTATTCACCAAAACTCTGTAACTTTGCTGTATTAATTAATGCTCGAATACTAGCAATTGCAACAAATAAACCTCTAAAATTCAGCAATATAAAACAATAAAAGTTTATATCTTATTCAAGGTTAATAGTGCATTATGCATATTCCTGCTCAGCAGGAAAAAGTAGAGCACAGAGGCCTCCGTTCCATAAGTCATTCATCCACCTTTAACTAATGGCGTCCAAGGTCATTTCTAAGGTCATTTCCTAGCCAGCCTCCTGAAAGAGGAAAAGAGCCTGGAGGAGTGTACCTGGGAAGTTTTATGGCTGTGTCTGGAAGGTGGCATACATCACTTCCTTTTTATATCCTCTGATTAGAACTTAGTCGCAAGAGAGGCTGAATAATGCAGTGTAGTAGCTGTGTGCCTAGGAAGAAGAGGGAATGAGTCTGATGACCAGATGGCAAACTCCCTCATCCTCCTTCTGCATTTTCTTGCCCTGTTCATCCCAAGTTCCTGTTCTGGGTCCAAGGTGAACATCTGATCCCCTTTTGTCATTTCATGTGGGACTTGTTCCACCACCGCCATCTCAAGCAAGTCTGGCTTTGGGGCTTTAAGAAAATGCTCTTTGAGCTCCTTCTGTGATGGCTTAAGGAGTTTGCCTTGGATCACCCATACCTCCTAGTCAGGCCTGTTGTATCCAGGGAGGGCACATCCAGGAGAGAAAGTTTTACAGGAAATTTTGGTCTCTATCATTTTGGATGTTTCCAGTTGCAACTGGTTTAAATAACAAGGACATTTCTTATCTCACATAACAAGATGTCCAGAAGAACAGCACTTGTAGAGTTGGTTAATTTAGAGATTCAAGGGTGTCATTGAGAATCCAAGTCCTCTTCCTCATTCTGCTTTGCCCATCCCCAGGGCATGAACTTTGTGCTGTGCTTGCTTCATAGGCAACACATCCAGGAGAAACAAGATCCTGAGGAAGAAGGAGCTGCCTCTCTCTGCGTGTCTCTTCTAAGAGTGAAGAAGCCTTTCCCAGAAGACCCCCGGAAGATTTCTTCTGAAGTCTCATTTCCCATGCCCATGTCTAAATCAATCACTGGTGAGAGAATGATAACACCATAATCGGCTTCAACCAATCTGGATGCACGCCGGGCCTAGGAACAGGTCCAGCCTCCTCTCTAGTCACATTGTCCTGTGGGAGTTTAGTGGGGTTCATTCTGTCAGTTTGTTTTGTTTTAAACAAAAGTTTCTTTAGGAAGAAGCATGGTGTGAAGAGGGGGATGTTTGGATGTTGGGCAACTGAGCCTAACCTTGGTGCTGAGTTTTTCTGTAAGGAGCAAATTAGTTTCTGGAAACCATGCAGTTGTTTTTCTGATTTATAATTCATTTATGTTGAAAGCTTCATAATAGTACACAAATGAAGTCCAGTGATATTTGATACTTAAAAATTACTTTTATTTCAATAGGATACAAATATATAAGTAGTATTCTACTGGAAAACCCACTATCTCTGACCACCATGTATGTATGGGATGGAAATGACTGACCCGAGGAGTTCATGCAAATATTTTGACTTGATAAAAGTTATAAGAAGTTTAGATAAGATTTGCATTTATTAATAACCTAAAATTCATTATATATGGCATTGTGCATCAAATATGGCTTGTAGGTTTAGTCTCATTGTTGTGTTGTTGCACCTTATATGCTTAAAACCTAACATAAACACCATTCTCATTCTAATAGTAATTTATCCACACTATATATTCAAAAAAATAACAAAGGAGTGTAGATATCCACTTTTATAGCAATTGTAAATAAATTTATCAGTACTTAATTTATGTCAAAACTAGTATTCTCCTCTGGTGGAAGGTGGTTAAAGTTCTGGAGACAATTTCAGGCAGTCAGTGTTCTACTTTTGTCTTAACCATTAGTTGGGTTCTCCTCCTGCTTAACCACTGTCTTACCTTGGTCAAATAATTAGATGTCAATATGGCTTAGATTTATTTCTGTAAACTAACACAAAGTAATTGAATTGAAGTAGGTGATCATTAACTTGCTGTCTAGCTATGATTCTGCGATATTCTGAAACTTGAGTTCCTGGGGTTCATGTGATAGGTTTGCTGCATCTTAACACAAGAAACCTCTCATTACCTAGTCAAGTCTCAGCCTCCCTTTCCTGGTTACTATTTGCACGATATCAAACAGAGAGTCCCTGAGGTTTGGGAGTGGCCCTGGATGCAAGAAGAGTGCCAGCTTTGATATTGGTCTGGAAATAGAGAGAGGCTGGAAAAGTACTTGGAATATTATGGCCACAGGGGAATAGCTGGACCGAAGATTAAATACTGCCTGCCAAAATACAATACGGTGCCGAGTCTTATTGGATCAATGCACAAAGATGACGTGGTGCTTTGTACACATTTGATTTTCAATCTTTTAAATAAGCATTTTCTAATTCGGGAAGAAGTAGACCACATTTTTTTTTTAAAGCATCTCTTAATTTAATTTTGCTTTTTCTTCTCAAATGTAATATAGGTCAATCAGTTTGCCCTACAAAAAACTGAAAGATTTTCTACATGTTTTCCTCCCCTGTCTTCTTCCTTTCTTCCTTTTCTTCCAAGAACAATTCTTTTTTCTCAAATGTTCCTAGCAAGGCCTTCTTCAAATTATTCTAAAAACTATATTTGTTTCTTCTGGTTAACTCAGTCTATATTTCTTTCATTTTGTTTGTTATGAAGTTACATATTTTCCAAAAAGCTTGGGCTCATATTCAAATCGAGTTGTTGGTTATCAAACTGGGATTTTAGAGGTGTTACTGCACCCAGAGAGAAACCTGCTCCTAAAGGATGGCTTGCTCATTAATTTCAGGCCTGAACGTGACAGTGCATCCCAATCCCTGACAAGGCAGTTCTCCCATCAGATCCTGGCAAATAAAGAATTTTATGGGGCCATTTGTTGAGTGGAAGCGAGCATCAGATTTACCGTGGAAGAGCTGCTCTAATGTGGGAATAACAGCGATGTTGCCCCTTGTTAGAGCTTCGCGTTTATTATTGCATCGTCAGATATCAACATTGACATCATTGTAACAGCAGCAGAGAATAACAACACTCCATAGCCCTAGCAACAGCCGCCCTTGCCCAGGAGGGTCGGAGAGAAAGCGATAGAAGTACAACTGAGAATTTGACATGGGGGGTAGGGGAAGTGGCACAGAGGGTGTGGTCCTACCCAGCAGGGAGGAGCATTCTACCACGGAGGTTGTTAAAATGACAATACATGGGGATAATGAAAAGCAGACCAGATTTTATTCAGTTTTATTTCTTTACATTTTGTACAGCCAATGCTATTATTGCCTACACCTGAAGTGGAGTGCTCCAGCCGCTCTGGCCTCTCCCCACACTTGGTACACTCACTCTATATAATGGGCATTCTACTTCTATTAATGTATTTGAATATTTCCATTCAGTATTCCACTTAATCCACCCAATAGCCTCTGAGGTGTGAGCTTTTCTTAACCCGCATAAAAGATGAGAAGGCTAAAGCTTAGAGTGGTTGGAAAACTTGGCCAAGGTAATACCACTAGAAGGTGACAGAGAAGGGATTTGAACATGCATGTGTCTGGGTCCAGGAGTTGCAACTGTGGTTTCTGAATAACTTCTCATTCAACGCTGCATGTTGCTGAAAAGGTTTGGATGGGTTTGCAGTCAATCTGGAATCACAATATGAAAGGCTGAGTTGTTCCACTCATATGATTGTAACCTGTGCCCGTCATGAAATCTTGCCCTTCCCTTAGAAGGGTGTGGAAACTGAGAGGAAAGAAATAGAAGAACCTGGTGCAGCAGGACCTGCATACGACTTAATTCCAAATAGAGTTTTCTTGCTGGGGAAAAGAGATTTTCTTCAGAAAAAATATAAATGAAATGGCATTAGACAACAGACAAACAGAATGTTTATAAGTGTGTCTGACATTCAAAAATTTGGTCTTCAGCCTGTCAAACAAAGTGAGGAATTCCACTGTGACCTTTGGGAAATTTTCAAACTCTTAGCCAGGAAAAGCAAAGTAAACAAAATGAGTTAATATTCAAATGGTAAAATGAAGTTTCATATGACCGTTCACATGTTCTACATAAACAACAACACATCTCCAGAAAACATGTAGACTAAATCTGGAGATTTAGTAATCTTGTTGACATAGGCAAAATCCATAGGCATTTATAGAAACTGCGAGGAAACCTCTTTCTCTGGGCCCTCATCTTTGGCAAAGTGCCTCTCCTTTGCTGAGCAGCTGTAAAATTTAGTGCAAGTCTTTATTCTGTTGATCGAAGCAATCTATGCCCTCCCTCCTACACAGAGAGCAGTCATCATGAAGGGCAATGCCCATTACCCTGTGGTCTTGCACCCTTCAGTTTCTAGCAGGGATGCCTGGCACATAACCGTATAGTAGCATAATAGTTACTTAACTCATTCTAGAATGGCTCTCCCCAACGTAAGAGAAGCACAGAAGAAACTAAGGTAGGAGATAGAAGTCTGCAGGTCACTAAGAGTAAAGCAACCAACTTTCCATCCAGAGGTTTCGTCCCTGTGGCTGATGACATGGCTCTATACTCCTGTTTGCCTTGTGCCCATTGTCCGTTTTACCTTCTGTCCCCAAGCATCTCTTTGTTTGGCTCACCTAGCTGCTCTGTCACCAGCCTCAGCTCTCCTGGTATTATCAGATTCTCTGTGCCTTGGAGCTGACCTTTCTTCTTTTCAGCACTGTGTGTTTCTGATAACTGATTCTCTTTCTGGTGATTTTCAGGCTCTAAATAAAGTTCGTTAGAGCTGGAGTGTAAATTCAAGGTTTAGGAGTAACAAAAGATGAGGCTGAAGGAATGAGCAAGTGCAAGAATATAAAGAAGCTTGGAAACCAGATTCATTCAACACACTGACTGAAGACTTACACGATAACCAAAATATACAAAACCTCCCCGGGCAAGCTGGACAAGGTTGTTACTTTCCTGGAGCTTACATTGTACGGAGACTGAGAGTTGGAGCTTTTTCCTCAGAGCAATGTAGGGCTACCGAAGTGCCACAAGAACAGATTGGGTTTTAGAATATGGCTCTGCTACAGTGTAGAGAGTGAACTGCAGAGTACAAGAATGACGACTGGGTGATCCTTTCAGGAGGCTGAAACAGTTGTTTGAGCCATGACAAGAGCAGGCTGGCCCAGGGTAATAAGAACAGGGATGGGGGGAAGTGAAAGGATTTGTGAGTTACCTACAAGTGAAAATAGATATAATCTGGTGATAAATTAAATATAGATGTGTACAGTAAAAGCAAATGGTGTACCTCCTGAATGCACTTACAAAGACAGATGTAAAAGCATTGTCAGTAACATTTCCACTCTGTGGGGTGATGGCAACACAGCATAGGAGATATCTGGACTTGGGACATAGACACATCCAGGTTCAAATTCACCAAATCCCTCCTCTGTCACCTTCCAGTCTTACTACCTTGGCCGTCATTTAACCACCGTAAGCTTTATCCTTCCCATCTGTAACAGGGGGATAGGAAAAGCTCACACCTCGTAAGTTATTGGGTGGAGTAAGTGGAATACTGAGTGTAAATATTCAAATACCTTAAGAGAAGTAGAATGCATATTATATAGAGTTATACAAGCATTATTAGATGTACTTCTTGCCTTCAAAATACCGAAAATGAAAGGAAGTACATAATTACTTGAAAGTAAAACATAAAGAATTTAAATAAAATTAATTTGCATATAGTATTTAAAATCTGCGCCTAAGTGTATATAGATATGTTTAGGTATTATTTATATGTTTGTAGAAACTAAAAAGGTTACAGTCGGGGGGAGAAGTTTACAATAATAGGCAGAAAAACTTAACTATGTTGAATGCTCACTGTATGCTAAATATTATCCTAGTTACTTTATATTCATTACTTAATTAATTACTTATGAATCCAGCGACCTAGATATCACTTACTCACTATTACGGATGCTAGAACTGAGCTTCAGAGGGTTAGTGATTACTAGAAATTGAAATCAGCCCTGCCTACCTCAAACCCCTGTTCATTCTGTTATTCAGGCCGCTGAATAGCAGATT